CTCTAGTTCCTCCCAGAGCTCCTAAAACACTTGGAATTTCCTAAATGATTAGAGTAATAAAGGTATCATTTATTATTCAAAATAAGCCCCTTTCAACCACAAAGGAGTTTATGTTAATGAGGTAACTTTAGGAAAGTCCCTTGTTGCCTGGGGGACCAACTACAAGAATAGAGTTAGAACTTTCAGCCCTGCCCTCCAAGATGGGTGGGGGCTGTATACTGAGTTCAATCACCAATGGCCAATGATTTAATCAATCATGCCTATGTGATGGAGCCTCCATAAAAAGCCGAAAGGTGGCAGCACTATTTACAATAGCCAAGATATGGAAGCAACATAAATGACCATCAACAGACGATTGGATAAAGAAGTTATGGTTCGTTTATACAATGAAATATTACTCGGCCATAAAAAAATGAAATCTTATCATTCACAATGACATGGATAGACCTGTAGGTTATTATGCTGAGTGAAATAAGTCAGACAAAGATAAATACCATATGATTTCACTTACATGCAGAATCTAAGGAACAAAAAGAACAAACTAATCAAAAACAGATTCACAAATAAGGAGGACAATCTGATGATGGCCAGAGGGGAGGGGTTTGGGGGGACTGGGAGAAAGGGGTGAAAGGTTAAAGAAATACAAATTAGTAGTTGATAGATGGTCATAGGGATGCGGAGCACGGCATGGGAAGTGCAGTCAGCAGTAATGTAATGGCTAGGTGTAGAGCCAAAGAAGAGAAAGAGCAATCAGGGAGATTGTTTCATAAACTACATAAATGTCTAACCAACGTACTGTATGCTTGAAACTAATAATATAATATTTTTAAGAAACCAAAAGGATGGAGTTTAAGAGCTTCCGGGTTGGTGAACATGTGGAGGTGCCCTGTGCCCCTTCCCACATAACTTGCCCTATGCATCTCTTCCATCTGGCCATTCCTGAGTTATATCCTTTTATAATAAACTAGTAATCTAGTGAGTGAACTGTTTTTTCTGAGTTCTGTGAGCTGTACTAGCAAATTAATCAAACCCGAAGAGGGAGTTGTGGAAAACTCTGATCTATAGCTTGTCAGTCAGAAGCACAGGTAACATCCTGGATTTGATAATTAGCATTTAAGTGGTGGGAAGGAGCAGTCTTGTGCACTTGAGCCCTTAACCTATGGAATCTGACACTAATTCCAGGTAGACAGTAACAGAATTGAATAAAATTGTAAGACACCCAGTTTGTGTCACAGCGTTACTTGATGTAGAAAACCTACATGTCTCATGTCAAAAGTTAAGTAGTATTCTGAGAGTATTGTGTGTAATGTAAATGGAAATGAGAGTTTTTTCTTTTACAAACACCAAGGCCAAGACTGGAGCTGAAGGCAGGAGAGAGAGAGCACATTGGGCTACATGGTAGGAAGGCTTCAGTAAGAGGGCTTGGGTGGAAGCTCCCAGGGGAGGGAAGTGGTGAGCTCTGCTGGTATAAAGGAAATGGCATGAAGAACAAGAGAGGAAAGAAGCATTCAATCCAGTCTTCAACCTCTGCCACCGTACCAGAGCTAGAAAACCAATTGTCATCAATGCTAGCCTATTAACCAGCTCAGAGCCCAATAGAGGACAGAGAACTTAATTTTGCTTCCCATACAGCCTCGTCTCTTTGTAAAATAAATTTCCCCTATGAAAATTATTAACTTGCCTCCTAAAAATTATGATTATCGGGATTTCACACTAGAAAACCCAATCTAAAAGTTCAGAGGAGATGGTAGCAACTTCGAGTCTCTCATTCCATATCTCTGACCTCAACCCTACCCTAGAAGACCCATCTCCATCCTATAGATCAGCTATTCCCAAAGGCACACTTGACTCCTCTTTGCTCTGTCCTACCTCAACCTAGCAGTTGCAGCACAAAGTAGAGGCCAAGAAACCTTTACTTTGAACCAACCTCCACAGCCTTTATAAGAATGAAGAGCCATGGGCTGATTTGAATTACTACATCTCTCTACAGCTGTTCCCTTTTAAATATTTAACCTGGCAAATACCACCACTGTTTTTTACAACTTATTTTAATTGTGTGGCTATTAAGCAAACCAAACCATAAAACTGGCTCTCGGTACTGAGATTTATGTAATTCATAGAACAGAGCTTATTAAAAAAGGGATCCACTGAGTGCAAACTATCCTCGAGTGCCTCACACCGACTCAGAAGGTGTGAAGCCTTTTTCTTATTCCTGCCTGTGGCTGCCAAGCTTCCAGTGAGTAGCATAAAAAATATCCACCCCTTTCTCTGTAAATGTTTTTTCTCCTTAAGAATCCTGATGAGTCTAAACACCAAGTTATGCTCTGTTCTTGAGGTGGTATAAGCTCTGAGAGGCTTACAACATAGGATCAGTGCCCTGGGGGGTTTAGGATCAAGGTCTGAGGGAGGGACTTCACCTGGGGACTTTGATAACTAGGAACAGGCTGGAGGTATTGTATTTATTTTCCACCAAGGTTGTTCTTGATTTGGATCATGAAACTGCTTTGAGACTCCAATAAAAGCTCTCCCTCCAAAAATTCACTTACGCACAAATATTTGTATAAAATTTCAGGAGAGTTCAAGAGTACCCCAGAGCCTATTCACAAATCCCCTAGAGGTCCATGAACCTCAGGTTATTTTTTACTACTTTCACTGATAGCACCCAAGTGACCCTCATTTCTCCCCTACATTTTTACAGTAGCTACCTAACTCACCTCTCAATTTCTCTACACAGCAGCCAGAGTGATAGCAATCCTGTTAAAATCTAAGTCAGATCATATTACTTCCCTCCTTGATATAATCCACTATCTTCCCATTTCACCTGCAATAAAAGCCAACATCTTTACAGTGGTTTACAAGGCCCTACAAGATTTGTCTTGGGGATACCCTGCTGACCTCATTTCCAGCTCTTCTCAACCTTGACTCCTGTGCTCTAGCCACACCCATCTCCTTTGCTGATCTCCCAATATGATAGACACAGGCCTTTACTTGCTGCTCCCTCTACCTTAGAACTCCATGCTGCTCTCTCCTTCATTCTTTCCAGTCTTTACACAATTGTCACTTTGTTGGTGAAGGCTTCCAGAACACAGTATTTAAAACTACAACCCCACCCTGCCCTGCCTAGGACCTCCTATCCTCCTCTATTTTTTCTCCATAGTACCCATCATCATCTTACATACTATGCATTTTTACTTAATGTTTATAATCTATCTCCCACACTAACCTGTTAGCTCCAGAAGGGTAGGGATTTTTGTTTTGTTTCACTGCTGTATTCTAGTTCCTGGAATAGTGTCTAACACAGAGTAGACACTCAATAAATACTTGACTGATTGATGACTAACTGAATGATTAAATTCTGCAGTGGTAGTAATGTATCCGGGCTGGGGTGTAAAGGGGAATATACATTTACTGAAATCTCTCTCAAGCAGTTTGCAAGTAATATAAGTCGCCTCATTTAATTGTCACACAGAGTCCTAAGAGGTATTTTTATTCCCATTTCCCATGAAAACTGAGGCCCGGAGAAGTTATAAAAACAGATGGAAGTTACACAGCCAGTGGTAGTTCATAATTCAAACTTAAGTCTGTGGGATTCCAAAGCCCTGCTATTCTCACCACACACTACCTCATTCTCTTGGTAGCAGTTCCTAAGGATATGCAACTGCCAGGTAGTTCATTTTAAAGTAGGAGCCTGAGTAAAAAAGATCCTTCATTAGGGGTTCCTTGTAGCTCTAATTAAGCAAAACAAACATTTAGAGTCTGAGTCTTTTTATACATTTATATCAAACATTGTCAATGATACAATGTATTGAACATCCTTCTGAGGGAGCTTATCACTTTCAGAGCTTCATTCATTCATTCCATTTGCTCATGGGTTTCATTCATTTATTCATAAATATTTGTCGAGTGCCTACTATGTGCCCAGTACTGTTCTAGGCACTAAGTATAAAAAAATGCATAAGGCACAGATGTCACTCTTCACGAACAGATTTGAGGTCTAGGGTAGTGCTGTCCAATAGAAGTACAATGCAAGCCAAGTATGCAGTTTTATATTTTCTAGTCACTGCATTTTCAAAAAGGTAAAAATAAACAGTTGAAATTAATTTTAACATAATTTAATGCAAAAAAGAAATAAAGAAATGAAAAAGAGAAACAATAAAAAATAAAATCATAATATATTTTCATATTATAATATAATCACTTCAACATAAATATACTAATGAGCAATTTTGCAGTCTTTTTTTGTTTGGTAACATGTCTTTGAAATCAATGTGTATTTTACACTTACAGCACATCTCAATTTGGACTAGCCACATTTCAAAAGCTCTAGAGCCACATGTGGCTGGTGACGACAGCATCTGACAGCACAGGGCTAGGGAAAAAGACAGATACATTCAAGGGCATTTTCAAAACAACACAGTAAATGCAGTGATAGAGATATGTTCAGGCTCACTCAATTGCCAGTTAGGACTTAAGCCTCCAGTGACCTTCCAATCCCAAAGGCCTTGTTCATTCTGCAGCTCATTAGAGACTCTGCCCACTTCAAACAATGGAATTGTGGTTGGCCTCAACCAACCAAACTTAATATGTCCAAAACAAAACTCATCCTTTCATCTCAAACACCTCCTCCTCCCCTCTCATTTTCTATTTCAGTTGATGGCACTATTATACACCTGCTTACTCAAGTCATCCTCATTTCATCTTTAGGTAAGTGAGCACTATATCTAGAAGGTGATTTAAAATCTAAATTCTTATCAAAAATGCAGCTTCCTCTTCACCCCAACTAGCTCAGCTTGTTCAGGCCACTTTCATCTCTTACAAGAACTCTTTTTTCCTTCCAGTTCTATTGAGATATAATTGACATACATCGCTGCATAAGCTTAAGTGTACAGCATAATAGTTTGACTTACATAATTGCGAAATGACTACCACAATAAGTTTATTTAGCATCCATCATCTCATGTAAATAAAATAAAAAGAAAAAAAGGAAAAAACTTTTGCTTAAAATAATGGACCGCTTCATGAATTTGTGTGTCATCCTTGGACAGAGGCCACGCTATTCTCTGTACTTTTCCAGTTTAGTATGAATGCCGCCAAAGCCAGCACCGAGATCCTTTTTATTGGTTCCCTTATCTCTCTCTCTCTCCCACTCAGCTTCAAAAGTAATTACTGCTTCATAAGGCCCTACATGGCTCTCAATCTCCTACATAATAAAGGCCAAGCTTTTTCACATAGCACAGGACTCCCTGCAGGATCTCACTTTTGCTTACCTAACAATGCCCTATTGTTTGCTGTTCCTGGACCCAGAAAAAGTTCACTTAACCTTCTCTGAGCCTACTACTCTTTTGTAAAAATAGCGATCCTAATCTCTCAAAGTTGACTTGAGGTTTCAGAAATAATACACACTTTAAACGATACACAATCAAGGGGTTACTCTCCTAATCGCTCCTTTACACTTTATATCTATCTAGTGCCTCCTTTCAATTCAATAATATTTATTGAATACTTAATATGTGCTAGGCACTGTGTGGGACAGAGGGCATGACAGAAAAGTAGGTTGAATTGACGTGATTGTTGCCGTCACCAAACTTATTACAATACACTTTCTCAACCACTACCTTTGAGGACTAGATAATCTCTAACATTATGAGCAAATCAGAGAGTCCTCAGAAATTCAGGCCAGGCTGCACCCCTGGGCGCCACCAGCTGCCCGCACCTCCGCTTTCCTCGGCTGCGACCCAAGATTGGGAAGCAACCCCGCTCCCCAACATCAAACCCGGAGCCTCACTAGTAGAATCCGACCAGGGCCCGCGTGGCAGGCGGGGGGCGGGACGCGGACGCGTGTCGCGGCCTGGGCCGGGACCTTTGCGCCTGCGCGCTGCGGCCCGCTCAAGGACCCGGATTTAAAGCGACAGGCGCTACCACCACCGTGGCTGAGCGTGGCCAATAGTCGCTAAGTCACAGGCCTACACTGTGCGCCGGAGCCGGGGAGGCAGGTGAGTGGCGGCGCGGCGGAGCTGGGCAGTGGGGAGAGAGGCGGCCCGGGGCTCGGCGCGGCCAGGGAGCCAGCCTCCTCGGCTCCTCCCCCGCCCGCAGAGCTCCAGGGCACACCCTCCGTGACGTGACGGCCCCCCTGGAGCCCATGGGGGATGGTTCGCGGCTCTCCCTGGCCCCTACGGGTCCCCGCCAAGAAAGGTTCCTCCGCGGGGGCTGCTCTGGCCCCTGCCGGCTCAGCACGCTGAAGCCTTTCTTTTGCTGCTGCGTCCTTTTCCCCATCCCCGGGCTCTTTGCTTGGTCCCCGGCCGTCCGAAGCCAAGAGACTCGCTTCCCCACCTCCTCTCCGGTGACCCCGGGGTCTGCACCCGGCTAGTAACCCCTGCCCACTGTCCCGAAAGCATCGCGGGATGGCCCTCCAGGAAAAGCGGCAGCAAGGCTTTCACTTCCCGGCCTGGTGCAGCTCACTGGCCCGAGGCGGCCCGGGCTGCGTTCAGGCCTCAGTGGTTTCCTTCTAGACAGACTTCTTTTCATGAAATTCTGAGCAGTGGCCGTTGGGGACTGTGGGACAGGCTGGTTTCCTCAAAGCAGCATTGTGCCTCCTCGTGGCCCGGTGCTTTCTGGGCCTCCGGCCCTGCGGAGGTTGGGGTACTCTGAAGTCAGTACCTTTCATTACGGGTTTTAAGGGGTGCTTCATAAATCGTTCTTCCTGAGGAACATATTGAAACCTCATTTGTTCTGAGCCTCACTTATGGGCCTGCCAAACTTTCACATACTTCACCTCTGTGGTTATAAAACTTTTGGGGGGTATAGAGTACTTTGTGAATTTCATGAAAATCATAAACCTTCTCTCCCCCAAAAAGGTACATATTAATATGCATATTTTATATATAAAGGAATTCAGAGCCTCCCACCCCCACCCCATATGTGGACTCATTTTAATTTTCCCAACCATTCTTTGAGGTAGGTACTATTTTCCCTGTTTTAGAAATAAAACTGAGAGGAGTTAAAGGATTTTTCCCATCCCTGATTCCCATCCACCTACTTTCCTCTGCATCATGTTTCATTACAGTAAGTGAAGCCTGCTTTTCATTATAATCCAATAGCAATTTCACTACAAAGCGGTGTGCAGGCTGAAATAATTTCCAGTTCATTTAAAATCGGAACTATGAAAATACTTCAGAAAATAATTAATCTAAGCAGATGGAAGGATACCATGCAGATATTATCCCTTGTTTCCATTGGGATTGATTTTTCAGTTTCTTTGATTCTTGCTGTCCATTTATGTCAGCATTCCATGATTCAAGTTACTGAGGTATAAACAGGCTAATTGCACATACGGAGCCCCTACTGTGTGTCCAGCTCTGTTGTAAGGGCTTTACTCTTAGAATAACAATCCCTTGAGTTAGGTACTATTATTACCCATATTTTACAGTTGAGGAAATTCAGGAGTGGAGAGGTTAAGTAACCTACCAAAGTCACACAGCTAATGAGCTAGGACTTGAACCCAAGCATTCTGGTTCTAGACTCCCTTTAATTGCTTCTCAAAATAGGGCTTCTGATTAAATCACAGATCTTTATAGTAGCTTAATTAGTTTCTAAGGATGGCATATATGTTATACTTAACATTAAAAACTTCATGAACATAATGTAATTTTTTTGGTGATTAAAAAGAAACTTCAGGTCTTGTAATATTTAGGGGTCATCATTATGAATATCAGGTATTGCCGAGGCCTTAAGAAAGGTTTTATTTTATTTGGATTCTCTTGATTGTGATTTACTAGTTATACATGTGTGCAGTAGTTAATTGAACACCCTTTTGCAAACTGAATTTTTCTGTACTGGAACTCTTCTTTATCCTGTAGGCAATAAATCTTTAATATTTTGGGAAGTGTTTGATTAGTCAGCATAGACTGTATTAGGACCTTGGCCTTTGAATAAATGGGAAGCCTAGCCCCTCATTTATATCTCACCTTTTCTGTTCTTCACCCTGTTGTGCAGCTGTATGACTTTGGCTTTCAAGATTCTCTTCCCATCAACCCTCCGTGCACTCAGCCGAAAAGAATTGTGCCTATTCCGAGAAGAACATCTTTGGCCAAACATAAAACATTTCAGCCAGTGGTCAGAAACAGATCGGCTTCATGGGCCCTGCCTACTCCGGAAAAGAAAGCCTGTTCTGTCATTCCAGGAAGGCAGTCTAAGACTACGTGCCACCTGCCTTGTCTTATTGCCAGGGTCGCATGTGGGACTCTGCAGTGGGCCCTGTGAGATGGCTGAGCAACGGTTCTGTGTTGACTATGCCAAGCGTGGCACAGCCGGCTGCAAAAAATGCAAGGAAAAGATTGTAAAGGGTGTGTGCCGAATCGGCAAAGTGGTACCTAATCCTTTCTCAGAGTCCGGGGGTGATATGAAAGAGTGGTACCACATTAAATGCATATTTGAGAAACTGGAGCGGGCCCGGGCCACCACAAAAAAAATCGAGGACCTCACAGAGCTGGAAGGCTGGGAAGAGCTGGAAGATAATGAGAAAGAACAGATAAACCAGCACATTACAGGTGGGGTGAAGAATACTGCTTTCTCATCTTGCTAGTGCTGAAAGAAAAAGTGATAAGGGGAATAGAGTCCAATTTCCCTTTCTTTCTTTCCTCTGTTAACTTTTTATTTAGAAATAATTTTAAACTCACAAAAAGTTGCAAGAATAAAAATAGTACAAAGAATGTTTATATTCCCTTTACCCATTTTAATTATTGTTGCTGTCTTTGCTTTATCATTTGTGTTCTTGTATGCTCTATTACTCTTTCCTTACACACACATTTAGTTTTTTTCCTGGACCATTGAGTGTAAGTTGCATACATTATGGCCCTTTGTCTTTAAATAGTTCAATGTATATATCTTAAGAATAGGAATATTCTCTTACATGACCATAAATACAGCTAACAATTTCGGTAAATTTATTCTTAATATAATACTTTAATCTACTGTCCGTATTCCAGTTTTGTCAATTGATAAAATATCTTTTATAGCTTTTTTTCCCCCTTCTATATAGAATCCCAGTCTAAGATCAGATATTGCATTTGGTGATCATGTCTCTTTAGCCTCCTTTAATCGAACATTTCTGTAGTCTTTCTTTTATGATATTGACATTTTTGAAGAATAGGGTACTATACCTACCACTGCTTCCTTTTATCTATCAGTTTATCTGAATGGACTCACAGATTACTTTTTTTTTCCTGGTGGGTCATAATTTTACTGTGATTTATTAATTTGATTCTTATTGTTCCATATTTGGCCAGTTGGGGAGCCCCTTTGAGCTAGTTTCTGTGTCCTGGATACCCTTATCATTATTTTAAAAAATGTTTTAAAGTTCTTCCTTACTCTCTGGCATAACAGTATGCTCTTAGGTTTACCTTCTGTGTATCTTGTCCCTGCCCTGGAATCAGCCATTTCTCTGAAAAGTTCTGGTTCCTGTTAGTGGAGAATAGCATTAAAAACCATAATCTGGGTGTTATATGTCTTTGTTGCCATGAGTATCTTTTCTTAAGCCCTTTTAGCAGACTAGAACTAGAAAATTTATGTATATACTCGAAAACACGTACATACATACACAGGTACATATAATATATGTGCACATGCATGTATATTTACATGTATGCATATTTTATAAATTTTACACTGATGCTTCCAAATCCAGTTAGTCCTTTATGACCATCAGTGTCCTCAACTTTAAAGTAATGTTCATAGTTTCAATTAAGTATAGTTCTTGTCACTATAGGAAGATTAATAACAGTGGCTCTAAAAATGGGCATTTAATCCTTGTTCTTTGGAAGGAAAAAAGACATCTAGGAGAGAAAACTATTTCTCATAATTCCTTTCTCAAGCCCCCATCCTTCCTTATGCTGCCTTAGCCATTGGCCTCAGCCTTTGTTACTTCTTGACTCATCTAATTCAGAGGAAGAGAAATACAAAGTAGAGTTAAGCTGTCATATAGCTCAAATAACTCAGCAGCTGGAAGTTTTCCTGCCTATGTGAATCCAACGTTCTCTGTTATCCATCTTCATTTTGCTTTCTTGTGCACCTATAAGTTGGGGTTAATTCTGTGGAGCTAAGCTTCTCAGGTTTTATCTATTGATAAAATGTGATTTCCACTCTCTTCCCCACAAATAATCTGGAGATTATTATATGTGAGATAAGAGGTGGAAAATGTTGGTGAAAATTTATTACTAATAGAAGTAAAGGGTAACTGGGTCTTTTTCCCCAGAACATCTTTCCCTCCAAAACCTTTCCCTCCAATTACCCACTACCTCTACTCAAAAAGACTGGCCAGCCAGCAGCCAGCTTTGGGGTGACGCCATGGTAGTAACAAGCGAGGTTCTAAGAGTGGATGATAGACCTTTTGGAAGCTTTCTCAGGGATCTTTCACTGAATGATATTTTTCTTTCTTTTGGGGTCCTACAGATCTATCTTCTAAGACAGCAAGCACACCAAAGAAGAAAGCTGTTGTCCAGGCTAAGCTGACAGCTACTGGCCAGGTGACATCTCCAGTGAAAGGTGCCTCATTTGTTACCAGTACCAATACCCGGAAATTTTCTGGCTTTTCAGGTAAGATAGATAGGTTTAAGGCTACTTTAGCTGTTATGGTCCACCTTTTAATTTGGTGTCCTCTTTGGGACTCCGGCTAAGAGTGAAAATTCTGTGCTGTCTCGTCTCAATAATTTGCTTCCATCTGAGCAGAGACAGATAATGGCTAATTCTCAACACCCCAACTGTATGGCATTTCTTTGCATACTTTAATTTCTATTGCAGCAAAAAGATGTTTGTTTTGTCAAGACTTTTCTCACAGTAGTTACTTAGGTCAAACAGATTATTATAACTTGCCTTTTACTTCCTTGTTTTTTGATAAAGAATTTTGAGAAATGGCATCCCTAAACTTACCCATACCAAAGAAAGTGTGAAAGAAGGCAGATATCATGCTTGCCCTGTGTAACAGATAGTGTTGGATTAGAGGCTTTTACATATGTAGTTTCATTTGTTCTTCAGTTAACCTTTGAAAGAACTTTTATTAGGTCCATTTTATGAATGAGAAAGTTTATGTTCAGGTTCATTATGGTATTAGTATTTACACTGAAATCTGTTTAACTCCCAACACCTGTGCTCTTTTACCCTACACCCTGCTATGTCTTTTATTTGGAGACATTCCGTGACTGACTCAGGTAAACAAAATGAAGCCAAAATACATGGATTCAGAAGTTGCTTGAAGTAGTAGTAAAAGAAACCTAGACTTGAGTTTAGAAGATCTGGGTCCTGATTCCAGCAGTATCACCTGACAACATGCTCAGGGGAGCAAGTCGCTTCACTTCTGCACCTCTGTGGCCTCATCTGTGAAGTGGCAATGGCAACACCTGCCTCATTTATTCCACAGTGTTCTCATGAGGACTGAAGGAGATATGGTTGTAAACGTGGTGCCTTACTCTATGGGATTTTTTATTCTTTTAAAACTCTGAGGTTTGTGTTTTTGTTTAATGGTAGGCCAAAGATAGAAATACGGAAGAGTTCAGGTGACAATAACAACATGTTTCTGGAAGGGCCCTGGTCCTGGGGAAGGAATTTGAAAGAAGTTGAAGAGAACAAGGTATTCTGGTGCTTAAAACCTG